CTGCCGTACCTTTGACAATGTTTATAGTCATAACTTAGCAGACACGGCATAGTTTTGAATTTATCAAACCTACGCCATGTCTAGCCGGTGTCCACACTATGCAGTGTCATTTATATGTGAAAATCATGATTAGGTGATAAATTTGCAATAATCCTTTTACTCATTATCAAAATCTCTTTTATAACGTGTCGATATCATGCTGGTGACGTTCCTGTGGTAGTGCTAATTCTACGTCGTGTCGAATTTATGCTTTGTTGATTTTATGTACGTAAACCCACGAAGACCCCCCTCGTTTTAAGCACATGGGCTAACCAGCGGTTGAATAGTAAAGTCGTTAATTATTGGTAATTCCAACCTGGGTTCGATTCCAGGCGTTCGGGCTGGTTTGGGCTGGCTGCAGCCCTTGTGTGCTTTGCCGTATTTAAATCAAACCAAACCTTTTTAGGTACATAATCAGCATGTGCCATAATTAAATTCATGCTTGCCGTAATCCGGACACCCGGGAGGGGGCTTATAAGGACTATTCGGGTATCGACTGGAATCCGCAACTGTACAATGCAAGAACTCCCTGGTATCCTCATCTGCCACCTGCCATAATCAAATAACCCTATCTATTATTATATTAATTCTGAACCGCTTCCTTCTGTCCCTCTTTTCTTGAAAACTGGTTTCTTGAGAGCAATTACATGCATAAGAATGTCGCTGCCGAAGCGTTTGAAAAAGATTCTAGGGTATAAAGCCGTAATCACAGTAACTAGCTTAGAATATGTGAAGCGTTGAGGACATTATAGAATGCTCAAATGGCGTTGAAGACATTATAGAATGGCGAAAACAGAGGTATGAAAAGTATAGCGTCATATACAGGCGGAAAGGCACAGGGGATCTGACGAGCTAGATTTGAAGGTCTAGATTTTAAAATAAAATGGAAAATAGAAAGTGACTGAGAATTTTTTTATTCCTGCAAATATATGCACTCATTGCAGATAGAAACTTTTGGAAATACACGAAAGCGAAGCCAAGTCATTGTGTATATACACATATCGTAAATTTTTTAATTATTTAGGTGTATAGGCTAAACAATTCAGAATATGCTGTTAAAGTATTTTCTTTTTAAATGTGTCTCTTCTGCCTGTCTTCCAATCTGTAATTTATTCAGCTGTTCAGCTATTTATCCATTAATACATATCTAGGAAAATAAAAAATCTCATGAACCCTCAAAGACCCTAACGAAATAAAGCCATCTACGCCCAAAACATAGATTCGAATCGAGGTTTCAGATCACCGAATTTTTTCGCCTTTTTTTTACTTCCTTGTACGAAGTAAAAAGGAAGTATTGTAATCGCGAAAAGTTTCAGGCAGCATATTTCAAAGAAAATATCCCATTTTGACCTCTTTCAAATGCAATTTAACGATGTATTTCCGTGATATCTGTGTGTAAGGACAGAATAAAACACTCTTTTCCTCCAAAAAATTATAAATCTGCTTTAAAATGAATTCTGAAGAGAATTTTTCGTGGCGTCTGTACGAACGTATGTACGTACGTACGTGCGTACGTACGTATCTCGCATAACTCAAAAACTAGTAGCCTCAGAACGTTGAAATTTTGTATATAGGACCGCTATAACATGTAGATGTGCACCTAGTATTTTGGTTGCAATCGGCCGCGCCAAACGTATATAAATATATTTATATATATATCCACTCTGTTACCCGGCTCAGTGATCTCAGTTTCTTTACTCTTATATGTGTGTAAACTGTACATTTTTTTCCTTTAAAATGATTGAATTATGTTGTTCTTATCTTCCGGTTAAGGTTTTTTTTATGCCTTTAGTAAATCTGTATGCAATATTTTTAGAATTATATCACAATTTTAAAATTGTTTAAGTGCCGCTAAGCCTAATAATATTTTTGATGCGGCCATTGCTTCTTGTTTACATTTGAAACAGCAGGATAGCGGATTTTTTGCCAATCTAGAGAAACTTAGCTTCGCAACAACAAAGATAACGCCTTCATTTATTATTTAAATCATGCTTAATCCTTTCTGGAATTTTTCTGGAATACAGATATTTTGAGTTTTTATGTATTTTTGCCTTGTCGCGAAGTGAAAACTGAATTAATTGAATGAGAAATACTCAATCGTCTGTGAAAAACTGTTTCTTTTTTGTTTTGTTTGCTTAATTTCTTTTATACATCGTTCTTAGCTTTTTATTATAGTATTTGAATAGAACATGTGGCAACGATTAGATAATTCTTTAAATTGATATTAAATTTTGTGCATTCTGAGTTATAAATATGAACTGAAATATAATACTGTTAAGTGGAAACCTATCGCCAGAGTGTCGCTATGGTAAATAAATACAGTGAATTTTAAAGATAGTGCATTTATTCTATTGTGGTTGTATGCGCTGTCGGCGAAGTAGGTTTAATTCAATCTAATAAGTTTAAATGAAATGCAAGAAAAAATGCGTATAATTTAATATTCCGTACAAGGAAGTCATATGGTGTACACATCAGATTTTTTTAAATCATATTAACAAGGCAGATAAGGCTAAGGCTGGTCAGACCAGCGCTATCAAATTACATTAAGGGTATCGACATTTTTTTGGCAAGTTGACACAAAGGAATCTTAAGAAGTTCAATTCAATTTACAGTAGCATGAAGAATGCACATTTTATAAAGATGCGGAACCGCTCATGAGAAGATCTAAGTGAATAATCGCCACCCCAACAATTTTATAACGGTGCCGGCACCATTATGAAATCGTCCAATCGCGGGACATGAAAGTTCTCCATTTTATGCTTTGGAGTTATGAATCTGCAATGAGTTAGCGAAAATGGGGTTGAAATGGTAAGTTTAATATGTGTACCATTAGATTATTTTTCGACTTTTTAATTTCATTTTTATTAATTTTTTAGTGTCATTAAATCATTTTTTCCAATGCGTTTACTTCTTTTTGTTGCACGAATCTTGCAATTAGGATTAATGTTCCATCCGTTTTTAAACCATCGATATCAGATGATCGATATCAGATGACAAGACAGACGACTGATGCCTCCGAAAATTTCTTGATTTCTCCATATCCTGCATACCCCCTTAAAATATATAAATTCCTGCATATCGCCTTTAAAATACGCAGATAAAATCTCCTTCACTATTTGTTTAGCCAAAAATTTTACTTTGTTTTTTTTTTTTTTTTTTTTTTTTTCAGTTTTGACGTCCTAAGGACATACTTACTTTGACGTCCTAAGGACATACTTACTAGATTGCTTAATAACTATTCCAGACTTGTGAAACCCATCATTATTTAGAAAACTGTTTCTTAAAATTCTTGAATAGTTTTCCTTTTTCTCGTTTTTCATGGCGTGCTGCAAATTTTCCGCATATATTTCCAACTAAGCCACTGAATATGTTACAAACTAATAAGACCCGCAGAAATAAGAAGGAAACTGTTTTTTTACCTTCGTGGTAAAACCTGCAAAGGGATGACTGTGTTTAAAGACGTAGGAAATAAAGGCTTTTGAATCATTTTTTAAATTTTAATGCTGTTGCTGATGAATTGTGTGTTTCCATTGGAAGAAATCGAATGCTAAGTTCGGCATTCGCAAGTGTCGCCATCTAAATGCTGACTGAGGTAAAAAGAAACGGTGTTTAGAAATTACTTTTGATTATTCAAAAAATTGAGGTACACCTGAAAAAAGTATGTAATTTTATGTGCTTATTGCATAAATAAGAGCAGTGTTATTCAACAAACTGCGTTCCATCTATATACATATTTTAGAAATTTAAAAACAAATGGTATCCGCAAAAATCTTTTCTCGTAAATAATCTATACTCGTTTATCAAATGAGCTTTTTTCTTCTTCATGAAGTATTAAAAAGTAATTTCTCATATTCACATCAGTAGGTATTGCGTTAGTATTTTAGATTGTTTGCTATTTTTCCTAATTTCCTGACAGATAAAAGATGACACATGATTACAAAATACAAAGGAGGTGTTTTCCTCCATTTCTATTTACATTCTGAACGCGTTATGCGTACGAAATTAATTATATTTATAAAGAAGAATGCGCATATGTTGTATTAAAAAAAAAGGCAAAATTTTCCTGATTTGTCCTCGGATGGAGAAACCCTAAATCATTGCTTCTTCCTTCGCTTTTGATAAACATTTCATTTTACACAGGACACATTTTTTTAAATTTTATTTTCTCAGTTATTTAGTTAATTCCAACAACGCACCGAGAAGTCATATTATCTAATTTATGGACTAAAATGGAATGCCTCCACGGTGGACTCTCAAAGAGCATCTTTCCCTTTAGGCAGATAGCCCTCGATTGCTCTGTCATAATCAAATTAACGAAATCTTTTCAATCTCTCGGTCTTTGTAAAAGTATTAAAAAATTATTTATATTATGGTAGTTTCTTAAACTAAGTAAAGCTGAAATTGATCCGAAAGTTTTAAATTAAATACAAAATTTTCATGTTAATACATGATATTATTGCTATCGAAATCAGTCTAGTTCAGGTCGAAATTTATAATTCTAATAATATTTATCATAAGCTTATAGTATTTAATTACAGATCTTCAAGAATTTCAAATCGCGGGGAATCTACTAAACGGATATTTTGAAAAGAAGTTTAAAGTATTTTCCATTTATTAATCTTCAAGAATTTGAAATCGAAGGGAATCTACTAAACAGATTTTATGAAAAGATGTTTAAAATATTTTCAACTTATTAATTGTAGAAATTTTACGTCCTTTCAAGAATTCTTCGAATATTTCTAGAAACCTACTGAATTTCTGATAGCATTTTAAAATCGAATATTGCTTTCATTTAAATATCGTTACAAAGTTTTCCTCCATAAAACAAGAAACAGAAAAATGCATTCCATATAAAGACGAAGAGAATTAATAAATAAGCTTAGCATCAAAACTTCTTTGCTGATTTCTTGCAGTTTATTCGTGTTTACCTTTAAAATATGCGAATCAAAGAGGAAGGTTACCTGAATACATTAGCAACCCATCTGCTTCATTTAACAAGGTTGAAGTGGCGAGAGTGGGTTTTTCGGAGTATTAAAATTTACAACAGCGCAGCTCGTAATGTTTCACCGAGACAAAATTGCTGACAGAAAGAGATTTAGGAAACAATTCTAGAGTTAGTGGTTTTTTGCAAATAAGATAATCCCCGAAATTATTTAAAACTTATGCATCAGCTTAACTATACGGGCATTAAATGACACAAAGGATAAATAATTAATTCGTTCAATGAACTTATTCTCAAGCAGGATTATCACACAAGCAGGTGGATCTTCATTCAGAAATGATGAAAAATATTACCAAAAGATGAAAAAGTATTAGAGTGTTGTAAGTTAGAAAATCGACGCACTGGGGAAAGGGTGTAGCAGCAGGCTGCCTGGGTCAAAGACCCTATCCCTTGTAAAACAGATATGTTATTTCGAATACTGTTATGAGTAACTAGTATATATTTACAGATTTTTTTACAATTATATCATGTTTTTTAACCTTTTTTTAAAGTTATAAGAATAGATATAAGAGATAAATTAAAAGATAAATTTCTAAAAAGACTAAAGTGTGCGTTAAGTTTCATTAGACCTGAAGTGCTATCTGGGAAAGCCGAGAAAGGAGGAATGAGCTGGCTATAGCCTGATAAAAAAAAATCTTACATAACATACATATAAGTAATAGGCTAAATAGTGTGAGCCTCCTGGTGCACTAGTAATAATTAAACCTTAAATCTACAACACAATATTAAGAGGTACATAACAGATTGAATAAGTTTTACAATATGAATATTAATTATGGCCATATGTCGTTTACAATTACTTGGGTCATTAAAATTCGTAATCGTAAATCCTTATAACTGGGTTGTTGATATTCACAAGATTCACATAAAAGGTCCGGGCGAGCCGGCAGTAAAACTACTTAGGTTGTTCTATACCGAATTCTTCATGTAACTTTTGATTTCGAACGTACCAGGGTGAATTGGTAATCTGTCTTAGGACACAATTTTATGCCTGTTGCAATTATTTCTATAGGATTTGCATGCTCAGACCGACCAGGCAAGCATAGCATAGTATGGGACGCAATACGGTTTTATAAATAAGCAACATATTGTCTATTGAAAGTACACTGTTTCGAGAAATTAAGGGGTGAAGTGTGACTTTACTAATTCGAAATATACTGAGGATAGATGTTCTGTGTGAGTACCATGATATAGTTTACTCTGAGGATCATTCCAAGGTAAAGGACTTGCTTGATCCATGGGATGATTTCTCCATAGAGTTGCAGGTTTTGGTTGAATTTATTCTTTCTGGTAAATAGATCTGCTTGAGTCTTGTCCACATTAACTTTGATTTTCCATTTTGTCAGCCAAGTCTCGAGTATGCTTATGTAGTCTTGTAGTCATTGTATTGCTGGACTAATAAATGCACGTTGTGAGAGGATCACAGTGTCAGCATACATTGTTAGTGTTGTGCTCTGTGTGGTGGGAAGGTCGTTCACGTATACACTGACTACCAATAAGTATTTGGACACCTGTGATAGAAAAGAAAAACTAACTTTATTCAAAATCAATAGTTGGTAGAGCCTCCACGAGAGGTAATTACAGCGTGGACCCTCCGAGGCATACTTTCCACAAGTCTTTGTATGACAGCTAGTAGTATTTTCTTCCACTCGGCTTAGAGAAGACATAGAAGTACCTTCACCGATTTTGCACGTGTAGTGCACCCCTGAATTCGGCGATGCAACTCGTCCCAGAGGTTCTCGATAGGGTTCAGGTCTGGACTCTGGGCAGGCCAGTCCATTCGATGAGCTCCATTGGCACCATACCAAGCCTTGGCTAACGTCGAAACATGGCAACTGGCATTGTCGTCCTGAAAGTCACAGGGGTCCAACCCGTAAAACTGCCACAGCGTAGGAAGCACATTGTCATCCAAAATAGTGCAGTAGGCATCGAAGTTGAGCTTACCATGAATGGAGACCAAGGGTCCTAGCCCGTACCAGGAGAAACACCCCCAGACCATAATTCCACCTCCGCCGAACTTGACTGTTGGCACAATGCATGCTGGCAGGAGACGTTCTCCAGGTAGACGCCAGACCCAGACCCTGCCATCCCAACGGTAAAGGGTGAACCTTGATTCGTCACTTCAAAGAACCCGTTTCCACTCATCTACGATCCAATTTCGATGTGCTTTGCACCACATTAACCGAGCAGCGCGGTTGGACTTTGTGATCAAAGGCTTATGGGCAGCAGCACGACCATGAAAACCAAGCAGATGTGCTTCCTTACGGATGGTATTCATTGAAACAATACTCCTGGATGCCTGTTGAAACTCCTCGCGGATGAAGGCTATCGGTTGGGTGCGGTTCTTCCGAATTTCTCTGAACAGCACTCGTCGGTCTCTATCCCCCAGTTTCGTTGGTCTACCGACTCGGAGCACATTCCGACAATCACCGCTCACCTTCCACTTCTTAATCACATAGGCCACTATCGATATTGGGTACTTCAGATCTCTAGATATGACCCTTAAGGATCGGCCACATTTGTGATACCCGATAATTATACCTTTCTCGAAATTAGAGAGCTCCGAACTGCGAGGCATCTTGCATGCGACTAAAGCCGATGCTGTTTCCTACCCGATATATACCGGCGGAGTCCGTGACGTACCTTGGGACCGCAGATATCTTCATTTGCATAGGTGTCCAAATACTTATTGGTAGTCAGTGTATATTAAATAAGGTAGGTCCTAGCAGACTACCTGAGGGACCCCAGCAAGGGCTGCCCTACGTGTTGAGAGTGTATTTGAAACGCGAACGACAAAGTGTCTACCGGTTAGGTAGGATTTAACTATGTTTGTAATGTAACATGGAAAGCCCAGGGGTTGTGTAGTTTGCAGATGAGTGCATCTAGTCATACACGGTCGAAGGCCTTTGCTATATCTAAGAACAGTCCTCCTGTAACTTTCTTTTACTGTAGCCCTTCACTGATGTGATAAGTTCCACAACACGGTATAACTGATTGACGGTAAAATGTCTGCTTCGGAATCCGAAATGGGGGGGGGAATCATAATGCTATTCCGTTCCAAATGTTGATTAATCCTGGTTAGTAGTACAGAACTCCATAATTTTGCTAAGTGAGGATAGCAGACTTATCGGGCGGTATGACTCTGGTGAGCTTTCAGACGTTTTGGGTTTCAGAATTGGTGTGATTTGAGCCAATTTCCAACTTTCCGAGAAATGCTGCCATCTGAGTATGAGGTTGACAACCTTCATGAAGAAGAGTAGGATTTTAACTGAAAATCTTTTGATCATTCTGTTGCTTATGGTGTCATAAGCAGGGCTGTTGTTGTTCTGCAGCATTTTAATGTAGAAGCAGACCTCCGAAGGCATGACTAGGATAGTGTTGTCAGTGTCTGGGCTTGGCATATAGTTGTGAAAGTCAGTAATTAATTGTTCTGTAATGGGGTAGTGAATGTTGCTAGTGCGAAACTGAGATTCCAGATGCTGTGCTAAAAGTTCTATTTTCTCATTATCTGTGTAATGGATCCTTTGAAGGCCTTTAAGAGGCGGAACTTTGTGGCATTTTTTATATCTTTTGACCGCTTTCTATATAGAGTTATCATCTGTGGAGACGGATTCCAGGTAGTTAGCCCAGCCGAGTTATGAATAATAATTAGCGCGAAACTTGAGTGCATCACACAGCCTATTGAAGATAATTTTCTCCTGCCTGGATCTGGTTCTCGGAAATTGCCTCGTGGTATGTTCTCCAACTGAACTTGAAAAAAGTGGCAAAGTTTTGAATCTATGCATTTGTGAGACTTTATGCACCTTATAGCCAAGAGCTACTAGCTACTCATGTATCTCATCTTTAGGACTGTCTACGGGTAGTCCTCTGAAAACAACTTTAATAGTTTTTTTTTTTTTTTTTTGCCTTGCTGATTATTAAATAATGATCTATCTGTTTCTCATCTAAATATCTAGTAATTGACCTGTGATCGCTTTCTATCTTCGGGAACTTTTTCAGAAACTCGCCTTAATCTTCACTGCGAATTCAAGTTTCGTGTCATTCTTTAGTTTTTTTTAACACAGAAATTTTTCTGCAGGTTTTACCATAATATGTTGAATTCTCTGGGGCTCAATTTCAACAATGTCAGGCTCACCCTGTTCCATATTACCTTTACCATTATCATTTGCATTTAATATATTAAATTTATTGCTTACTGGAATATCTACATTACACTTAATTAACTTAGCTGGTCTGGCCGGGTTTTTCGACTGAATAAAGATATTAGTGTCAGTGATTTCAGTAGCTGATCTCCTATTCTTTTTTGATGGCCGCTTGGGCTTAACATTGACATTTCCAGAATCATCACTAACATTTGATACAGAATTAATAACATTTACACCAGAACCATTTTCAGTACTAACATCAACATTCTTACAAGCATTAGGTTTAACATTTTTAAGTTTGCTAGCCATCACATTGCTAGTAATATCAGTAAAACTTAAATTAATGCATTCAACATTGTGTGCACCAAAAAACTCACACTTTATATATCTGTAATAGTCCTTTTGCGAATTCATTCCTGATCCGATTTAACACTGGAATGCCGATCGTCGTAATGCTTGTTTTTACCTTTTCAATAATTTGTGAAACACACAGGTAGTCCTCTAATATAAATGAATCCGCATTTATTAATGCACACTGTCTCCTGAAGCTTTGTCCGCATAATGATGAATTTCGTCAGTCAGTTCTAACACGTGGTTCCAAACCGTAGATGTATCCCTTTTACCAGGAGGAGAAAATTCCTTCCCCACCATTGCCACGTGGTCGTTAATCTTTGATGAATGATTCACTATTCACATCACACAAAAAAGTCAAATTTTTTCAATTTCAAAGTAATCCTCATACGAATAAATCCAATATGATGAAGAAATAGCACAGAATAATTCGTAAGCTCCAAGTTTGAAAATGACGATGTCAGGTTAAAAAGGTCCTTAGCGAAATCTTTACAAAAATTCTGGAAAGCTGTTTCTTTAGATTTCTCTATTATGAGTTGTAGGGATTTATATTTATTTTAAGTAACAAGTTAAAATTTAATTTTAAAAACTTTCCTAAAAGCCTTCATTCCCCTAATTGTCAGTGCCAGAATATTTAAATGTTGCAGCGCGCGTGAACAAATGCAAATTTC